TTCCGCCCAAGCCGAAGAGGACTCCACATCCATCTCGTGGGGACTCTGGGTACACGGCAGGGTAATAGAAACCCTGTGTGAGATTCAGAGGAGTTTGGCGACCTGATCCATCGCCCACCTCTTTCCGTCTTCGAGCGATAATTTTTATAAGACGTATCTACGAAGTTTCTATTTCAGTGGCGCGCTTGTCCAGGGCATCCGGAGCTCTGTTTCCGTGGAGCCTAGCAAACTCCACGTGATTGTTCGTGTCGTTTTTTGTTTTGTAACTGCAACTCAAGCAAGTTTTCCAGCCTGCACCGCAACCATCTTCAGTGTAAGTAAACAATCTTTAAATCTACCATTACGAGTCTGCGCCTAATTATAGCTTGTCGCCCGTTCTCTCCGACCCCGCGTGCCCGGGCTGCTGGCCACAGCCCGCGCAGAGCACAAAAAAGGGCCCGGCTCATGCCCGGCCCGCACAGCTGCAAATTAGCAGCATGGCAAATGAGTGCATGTGTGGTTTGCACATATGCACTCGTCAGGATGTGCGCAGGGAGTTTTACTCTTTAGATGCCTTATGCTGTGAGTCATGCAAAACTGAGGCTTGTCCTTAATGAGTACTGAAAGGCCTTCAACATCCAGTGGTCACTGCAGAAATCAACACAGTTTTCTGTTCCAAGAATAGGAAACTTCTCTCTGCCCAATTCAGGATTTTTATGGGATGTTCTTGTTTAGTTTACTTTCTTGGTCTGGCTTTCAAGTGCCATAAGCCATGCAGGTCCTGCTTCTACTTCTCACAAGAATGGAAACCAAATCCAGCAGGGAGTCTTAAGAGTACAATGAAAACACCGTAAATGCTTCTAACTAGCACGTTGTTCTGATGAGCTTCCCGGGATGCCTATTTGCCTTGGAGTGGATGGGGCCTCTAAGCTTGTTCAGTGGTGCAGAAGATGAACTTGATTCTTGATTCTGGAAGTTTTAATGATAATCAGGACATTTGTAGCTGACAGACACACCACACATGTTCTATATCTGGTTACTGTTGTACTTCATAGTTGCAATTCCCAAGTTCTAAAACAGCTGGGCCAGAAATCTTTGGTTCCCATGGCAACCTGAAGAGAGTAGGAAGTCCCAGGCCATGCATTTTTCCTCACTCCTCTCACTGACCTTTTCCATGATCTAGGAGCATTACTGAACACAGTGTTTCACCCAGAGAAAATACAGGTGACATCATGAATGGAGAAGTAAAGGAATGTAGCTTGGTGCTTCCAAAAATTGCCAGGTCCTAAAGCTGCTTTTCCACTCCACCAACTTAAAACCATTGCTGAAGTAATCTCTTACTGCCAAATTTTTCCTTGGCCTGAGCACGGAGTAAGCAGGGCCTATGAATGTGAAGTTTCTGCACAACCAGCTCTTTAAGAGGTCCGCAATGCTCTAGAGTACCAGGAGAAAGTACAATACTATACAGCCAACCCATGAAGCAGGAGGTCTTCTCATGTAGTCTCTGGGCCTGCTATGTAGGGGCCCGCCTCTCAAATGGAGGTTTGCCTGCAGACTTCATTCTGCAAAAATGCCTTCGCTTACCAGAATAAAGAAGGAAGAGATGTTAAAAACTATGTAAAACTCTATTCTTGTCTCTCAAGGCAGGAGATACCTCAAAGAGTGTCCTTATAGGAAGCAGGGAGGACTCCATTCTCTGCAATACCACCCGCTGCACTACATTGTGAAACTAGAGGGGCAGATGGTTACAAGAAACCAAAAGGAGTCTGTGTGTTTGAAAGACAGCAAGCCTGTTAATGGATTATAGAAAAACAGGTACCAAAAAAGGTGCCCCACAGTTTTCTGGAACTCTCTTAGTATGCTCGTTTATTAGTATGCAAGAATCTGAAAACTGCCTGTATGTTACAGTACCTGCCATTGACAAAATCTTCAAACAATCTGGAATGCTTGGGGCCAGGCTTTAGCTGGTATGGCAAGTACAGCATACAAGAAGATCTGAATTCACTGTCGACTCACGAAGGAGAAAAGGAAAGCAAGTAGGCCTCCACTGCTTTAAACACAAGGTGAGGGGTCTGCTAGCACACAGTTGTGCTCTAAATAATTCAGAGGCACCCACGCAGGTTAGGGCATATCTGAAGACCCATTCCCAGATGCTCATGCTAATATTCAGCAGCAGCTGTACAGCTTGGTAGTTGCTCCTAAAGCTGTGGTAAAAAAGCTTTAAACATGGCTGTTGATGTGTCTGCATCCTCTGCAGAAAGAATGCTTCCAGCTGCTACCGCTCAAAGTGCATTCACACTTCACTGTGACTCTTGCCTCCTCAATGTAGCCCTGGTTGGTGGTTTTTTAATGACTCTTTCAAAATACAATCCAGCATACAGTCTCCTGCATTGGAGCATGTTAAACAATAGGTATTAATGGCAGTTTTTAGAATGAAATAATTTCTGTAGGTAAAAAGGATTTTATTAAGTTATTTTTTCAGTTAAGTTATAGTTTAGTTGAAGTGCATAGAAATGTCTTTTTCAATATTCTTCTCTTCAGCTACTGCTTTAACAATATCAAGCTGAATCTGTTCATCAGCGTCATTGGTATCTAGCAGGGAAGCAGTCAACTTAAACCCAGAGCTACTCCTGCCCCACTCCGGCTGTAGGCTTCAGGGAGCAGCTGTGCAGGAAGCCAGGCTCAACCAGGAACAGGGTGTCTATGCGCAGGTTCACCCTTCTAGCATCTGCCCCCAGCAGGCACTGCAGGCACCTGGGGTAGGGGGTGGCACAAGGAGCAGGGCCTGGTAGGAGGAACCTGTACACCATAGCTGTTCCTATAGCCACTGGCTGGAGCAGGGAAGGAGTTACTCTACTCCTGCCCCCCAGTTCAGCTGGAGACAGCAACAGTGGTGTCATAGGAGGGGAAGGGGAGTCCCCTGGGTCTGTCCCCCCATCTTAAACTTCTGCCTGCTTTTAATAAAAGCATTCAATTGTTTGGTTTTTTTCTTGTGCTAAACCTGTTTGCAAAAAGCTGCTATTCATGCTCAGTTCACATTTCTAAATTGTGTATCCAAAGTGATTTGCATTAAATTTGAAAGCAATGCACATTAGCAGTAATTAGCTGTAAAAGTGCATTCATGTTTAAATTACATGCCACATTTATTGGCATTCACAAAAAAGTTAGATATTGCCTGAATTGGCCATCATACCCACCTAAATTGACGTTTTCATACTTTCTGCAGATTTAATATCCAAGTTATCATGCTATTTTCTACAGTCCTCTTTGGAACAGTTGTAGCAGATAGAATTGTGAATTGTAAGATAGAAATGTGTAGCATAGATAGTTCTTGTAAAAACTTTTAACATTCAGCAGACTACTGATGCTATAGTGACTGTGTCAGCTCTTTTCACCTTCTATCTTGTTTATAAACACAGTTTTCCTATCAGAGTAAAATGTGCACCATTTTAAGGCCAACCAGGGAGGTGAACAGTGTAATATGAAAGCTTTTGATTAAACCCTCTTTAGTTGAACGCATTTCTGAATCTGAATTATCCAGAAGATATCCACCAAGCACTAGAGTGGAATGGCTGAGCAGCTAATATATAGAGAACAAATTATGGAAGCAAAATTTTTGCTTTCAGGGGGCTGTTTTTGTTCATGGGTAATTTTATTTGCAGGTGAATAATTAGATTTTGAAGAAAGTCTGCTACTTAGTTGCAGGGCACATCCACCACAGGCAAAAGGAATCCCATATGAAGCCAAGGAGACCGTTCATTATGATATATGTACCCCACTCCACTACAAGCTGAATTGGATGCCAGAGGTGTAACAAGATAGCTGGGTGGCCAAGGCAGCTGTGACACACAGAGGTAGCAATAACTTCTGACTGTTGCTGTGCCACTAGTGTAGGTGTGTGGCTGAATAGATAACTGCTGTTTTTTCTGCTTCAGTCACAGAGTACAGCACTTGGAGCTGCTGTCCTGGTCACTCCACCTTAGTTACATTACTGCTGGACACAGTTTAACACAGTCCTCTAAACAGTCATATACTGATATTCATGTTAGGTCACTACTGGCCTGAAATAAATTTGAACTTACAGGCCAGAGATCAGAATAATGAGTGCTGCAATGCCCCAGCCTACTAACCTAAATAACCTGTTTTGCAGAAGCAATATATTCCTGTGACTCAGAATAAGCAATAGCATTCCTGAGAAGCCAGGCCACTTACTTGCTTTTGACAAACTTAGATGCACCCCCAGTTTGACAGATCTGGCCCAGCGCTCTGTAGTGAGAGCTGGGCAATAACCCATTTCTCAGCCCTGCTCTTACGGTTTTACTTCCAATTCTAATGCACGGCAGTTAACAATGTTGTTATATTGTAAAGTTATTAATTTTGCCATGGTATAATGTATTGTGATATTACAGGCTTACCTTTTTACACGGGCCTCATTCTACCTTACCAAATTATGTGCCTAAATCCATTAAATTGCTTATATAAAGCACAGATTAAGACAAATCTATCTGCTAGTTCAGATCTGAGGATCAAGTCAAGAGTAATGCAGCCATTCACAGTTGAATGTTTCTACGTTTAACCTCTCCCACCTGCTTTTGGGAATAGAGTGGAACAAAAAGTAGAAGTTATTAGCTTGCAGGTTGGTGTGTCATGGTTTCACTTTCTCTGATCCCAGGGAAACCTCAAAAGGAATTGGATTTACTAGGTGAAGTGTAGAAGACAGCCATTGTTTAGCAGAATGTGTGGCAGATGGTAGTAAGAAATCGTAGTTTGTAATGGTGGTTTACCATGTAGTGATAATTTGTAATAATACAAATCAATCCCCATTACTGAGTCACTGAGAAGATTAAATTTATGGCATGAAAGTAAATCAGTCGAGCTGAGAAGACAAAGGCCATTTTATCTTGCCATTCCATTTAATCTCAGTATTTTGAAATTTGGCTTTTTTGTGTTTGGACCAAAACTTACCTGGCAGCCCAGGAAGGACCCTTAGATTTGATCACAATAATATGCCAATATTGACGGATTTTGGGGATCAAGCATAAAGTTCTTCTGATCCCAGTCTCATGACTGTTGACAGGCAGGAAGCCTGGAATGAAGAGTCTAAGGCTGCGCCATTTCCAGTTCCAGTGATCAGGTGCTGACCACCAGCTCCTTGCGCCCTGGCACTTAAAAGCCTTGATTTTAAAACATGCCACACATTCAAAGCACCATATAAACCAGCCTGAAATGTGTTCCACTCTAAACGCAGGACATCTTTGTACCTGGTTTGTCTTTTTATGGCACCATAAATTGGTTAAATCTTTATCACATAATTAATATTGTAATCATGCAATAAGTGTAACTTCTGCCAGAGGCCTTTGATATTTCTTCCTGATTTTACTCCAGATATCACCCACATGTGCTGTATCCCAAGATAGATACACTAGAAAAGATTACAGCCTGCCTTCTCATCACATGTCTTTAACTTTGCTTTAAAATCATTATCCCTGGCATAGGCAGGGTCCTCCTATCATAACTTGTCTAAACTTTAATTGGAAAATAGAGCCACAGAGTCTTTTACTTTCAACTCAGATCTAAAAACTCTATCCTCTAGGTAATTACTTGTTGTTGACAGCCTCTGTAACTCTAAATCAACTTCCTCTTAAATGTTTGCTGTTTCTGACCAAAGCAGTACCATGCAAATACCTTGCATCTTCCATGGAATTTTAATGAGGTGGGGCTTCAGTATTCTCAACAAGTATGCATCTGAAGACCATCCTGTTACTAATATTTATTTGCATACTGAGATGCAAGATCAAGTGAATTATTGCCTCTTAGTTTCACAATTTTTGAATCCACTAGATCAGTGCTGCTCAACCTTTTTGGCCAGATGGCCAGTGCCCAATCCCTTTATAGGGCAGGTTTGGCAGGGCCCCATCTGTCTGCACAGAGTGGGGAGGAGGGCAGCCCCACCCCAATCCAGCCACGCACTGGAAAAGGGCTTTGTCTGGTCCCAACCTGGCCCCTCAGAGGAGGAGGGGGCTTGGTCGAGTCCTGATTCAGTCCTGCAGTGGGACAGGGCATGGCCTGGCTCTGCAGGTTGAAGGGGTCATGACCTGGCTCAAACCTGGCTGGGCAGAGGGGGGGTGGCCCAGCCCCAAACCAGCTGTGCAGGGGCAAGGGGCCTGGTCTGGCCTTGTAGGAGGAAGGAGGTGTGGCCCAGTCCCAACCTGGCTGGGTGGAGGGAAGGAGGAGTGGCCTGACCCCACAGGGAGGGGGAAGGGGACACAACCTGGCCCCAACCTAGTGTGTGGAGGGGAGGGGGTTTGGTCCAGCTCTGACCTGCTCTGTGGGGCTTGGAATTTTGGTAGCAGGGAGGAGTGGCAGCATTAACTGCCACTGGTCCCTCGCCACCAAACTTCCCAAAGCATGGGGAGCCCCGCAGGCTAGATTCTGAGGCTCTGGGGGCTGCATTCAGCCTGTGGGCCAGAGGTTGAGCACCCATGCACTAGCTTAAAAGAAAAAGTTACAGTAAACAAAAGAAGTTGTAACTATTCTGGCCATGTATAGCTCTCTCTCCAGTTATAGTAGCTGTCTGAGTCTCAGAAATTAACAGGTTCTGTCTTTTGATGTCTATTTTCTGCACAGGCTGTAACCTTTATGTATTTCTTTAACAGGCATTAAAGCTGTGTTTTCTGGCCACTGCCATAAGAATGCTGGCGGATTCTACAAAGGCCTAGAAATGGTGGTTTCATCAGCAATAGGATGTCAGCTGGGAGAAGATACTCACGGGCTTAGAGTGGTCATTGTCACAGAGGAAGACATTGTTCACAGATACTACAGTTTAAATGAACTGAGTAACCAAGGGATAGGTAAGGATCTACTGGATCTGCTGGTTAAACAAAATTAGCAGTTTTCTTACAGCTCTTCTTTTTTTTTTTTAATTTGAGTATTTTTATTTCACATTATATAAAAGGTAGAAACTTAAGTTCAGAAAAAACACTACTATAGGCTGAAGATACAGATTTGTGATCATTATACATAGATAGTTCTAGACTTACCATTCAACAAAGCAGAATGGCGTATGGAGATAGTTACACCTTAGAGAATGAAACCAACTGTATGAAAAATAAGGGCATTTGTACATGTGACAAAAATTGGCTGTTTTTGAGTTTTAATTGAGTCACTCTGTACATGTGCAGGGGGTTTTCATGATTTAAATTAGGTTGTTACATTGCAAACTAAACCACATCTGCATGTAGTTTAGTTTGCAACATAGCTATTTGTAACACTGCAGCCTTCTGAAAGTCTGTCCCTCTCCCCCCACTGCAGGAGAGGCAGGCTGAAGGCAGAAGTGGTGAGGGACCAATCCTTTTTTTTTTTTTTTTTGTGGAGCCTGCCCGCCTCACCCACATCTGGGGGGCAAGCTGCTGGTGGGCCCAGCAGTCCCTGAGCTGCAGGTGGCCCCCGTCCTTCCTTCCACAGCGGTGGTGCCCCCTGGAACCGCCCAGGTGGGCTGCTAGTGGGCAGGTACTGCTCCAGCTTAGCAGCACCCTCCCACTAGCCGCACACTGGCAGTCCCAGGGGGCACCGCCACAGTGGAGGGAAGAACTGGGGCCCCCAGCAGCTCAGGGCCCATCAGCAGTTCGCCCCAGGGGCTTCATTGGGGGCGGGGAGGATCGGGCCCCTAGCCGCTTTTTTTTCCTCCCCTGCGGAGCCCGCCTGCGCAAGCTGCCACCAGGCCAAGGGGCCTCTGAACTGGTGACGGGGGAGAGGTCCTTCCCTCCATGGTGGTGACGCCCTCTGGGGCTGCCTGGGCAGGGTGCTAGCTGCATTGGTGCTGCACCAACTGAATCTAACTCTTCCCCAGGCCTGCGTGCTGGAAGCCCAAGGGGTGAGCTTCTGGCAGGACCTGAGCTGCAGGGGACCCTGGTCCTTCCTTCCACCACAGCAGCAGTTTCTGGGGCTGCCCAGGAGGGTGGCTAATGGGCAGGTGCTGTCCGAGCTGGGGCAGCACCCCCTGCTAGTCACCCACCCACACGGCCCCAGCAGGTACCACCACCATGGAAGGAAGCTCAGGGGCCACTGGGCCTACTGGCAACTCACCCTCCCCCGCCACAGGAGACGTGGGCAGGCTCTGCGGGGGAAAAAGAAAAAAAAGGATTGGGCCCCTCACTATAACAGCAACAGAAGCCCCTAAATTAAAACTGGGGTTTTAATCCTTGTAATTAAAAATCCACCGTTTCAGTTTAGGGGACTAAATCCCTGTCACGTGTACAAGCGCCCTAATAGAACTAATGGCATCACTATTGATTTTTTTAAATTGGGAAGAGCTCTTCTAAGGATAAACTCCTACTCTATTTTTGGATCAGGTTGTTTGATAGCCAAGTAGTCTTGATAGCATCTAAGACTAAAAGCAGTTGTGTCTAGGTGGCAAATTAAACAAGTCAAACTCGAGCCTACCTTTTACTTTAATTGGATGGTTAGTTAACCACACCTGAAAAGTAGAACCTATACTTAATGTTCACTATTAAGCTCTTAGTTATACTCCAAAAAGCAAGCAAGAAAAATGTAACGTGTTCCTACTCTATGTGGGCCAATTCAAAACCCACTGATAGGCTTTCCATTAACTTCAATGAGCTTTGGATCAGAACTTGTTCCTACTTCCTACATATCAGTCTAACTTTCTCGAATTCCAGGCTTTCACTCCTGTTCACTTTGCTTTTCTATTGCTATATTGGCCCTACAAACAGTCTCTTTTACTTAGCATTTTAATTAGATGAAGTTGCTGTAAAAGGCAAGACTAGTCACAGAGGCAGTTCGAAAGTGTTTTCTTTTGTTAAAAAAGAAATAGAAAAGGATTTCATACTCTAAGTACTCTTGCTCAGATGACCATTTTCATCATTTTCAAGGAAGCACTTCAGAATTGACAGCTAATATTCTTCACCAGTGCTACAAACAGATTTTAAAACAATACTTCAGCGTAAAAGTGTCAACATATCAATTTCAGTGCGTCAGGCACCTAACCAGCTTTGTGCCTTTGAAATATCCTACTAGTTGCCTAGATGAATTGTCTGTCACCTAAGTACCTTTTTAAGCTACTTTGTCTTGGGGCAACTTTTTCCTCACTAATAATTAATGCTTCTAGCAAGTTAAGGGTTTATCCCCTTACTGCTTGTGCTTAAATTTGTAGGTGCGTCATTCTAATCTTAATGCTATGGGGGACATTAGTATTACCTAATGCTATGGTAATTTGGCTAGAAGAACTGGGGAGTTGCTGTTGCCTCGTTATATTATACATTTGAATATGGAGAAGAAGAGGGGTAAGACATTTTGCAGAAAAACTGATTAAAAGATGCAATTTTAAATTGTTTGGGTGGAATTTGGGAGAGCCAAGATTAACTCCACACAGAGAAGTGTTTTCCATAAACATGAGAAAGTTAATGGCTTTTTGATATGGATATATATTGTTTAAAAATATATTTTAGATTTATGTTGATATACAAGTAGAATTATACAGCACAAAAATAGGTTTATGCAAAATTATTTTAATTATGTAAGCACTTCTTAACATTAATTCATGCTGTATAAACATTTCTTCCAAGTTTGCTTTTTACAAGAGATGTGTTTCTCATTGTCTTCTCACTAGTAAATTTCACAACACTGTAAATCTTTTGAATTACAATTGGAAAATAAAAGTTTCCTTCATATTACAGGTTTTGTGTATGTAGTGATTTTTTAGAACATTTTAACTGTTGCTATTTATGTAGTCAGACCATAGGTCCTTCTGACCCAGTGTCTAGTGTCACACAGTAGCAGAGAGTGGATGATGAAGGGGAGAGTGTGTGAACTGAGTATGACCAGGGTTTTTTTCCACTGTTCCTCTCTCACTTGAAGCCTCCAACATTTAAAGTCTAGAAAGTTTTAATGGAGAGGCTGTATCCCTAATTCCCATGCTCAATTGCTACTATACCCCTTTCCTCCCAAAATTTGTTCATTCCCTTTTTGAATCTGGCTAAACTGTCAGCTTCCACAACATCTGGTGGCAATGAGTTCGACACTTTAATTACATACTGTGTGAAAAAGAAATTCCTTTTGTTAGTTCTGAACTTACTACCTACCAGTTTCATTTTGTGACCCCACCTAATTCTTTTATTCAGAGAGAGTAAATAATAAATCCCTATTTAGTTTCTCTTTACCATTTAGTGTTTTGCAAACTCTTATCATATCTCCCCTCAACCATCTCTTTTCTAAACCAAATAGGCCTTGCCTGTTTAGTCTCTCCTCATATGGAAGCCCCTCCGTACCATTAGTAATCCTGGTTGCCCTTTCTGAGGTGTGGGGACCAGAACTGGGCACAGCATTCAAGGTGTGGACGCAACATGGATTTATAAACGGGCAAAATACTTTCAGTTTTATTTACAATACTATTCTTAATAATCCCTAGCATTGTTTGCCTTTGTGATGGATGCTTAGCACTGAGTTGATTTTAAGCAAACTATCTAAAATGACTCCAGATCTCTTTTTGTGTGGTAAAAGCTAATGGAGAGCCCATCATAGTATAGGTATAGTTTGGGTTATTTTTGCCCAGGTGCATCACTGTATACTAGGGGTGCACTGATAAAGATTTTCTCAGCTGATTATTCTGGGGGAGCCCCTTGTGCAGACAGTGGCACCAGGCTTGTTTGGCGCTCCAGAGCATGCTGCTGCCTCAGCACTGGTGGACCCCATGCAGCCAAGCTCCCACAGCTGCCAGGGAGACGCTGCTTTTGCAAAGGTGCCTGGTGGAGTGCAATGTCCCTTGTGCGGTGCCTTACCCCACCCACACGCAGCCCAACATCTCTGCGGCAGCCCTGGTGCTCAGGGCCCTGCTGCGCCACATGTTGTTGCCATGGTGTCAGCAGCAGGAACTGGTAAGAGTCGCTTTGCTGCTGAGTAGGGCGCTCTGTGACTGCACCCCCTGCTCACCAGGACCTGTAGTCTGCCATGGGTTCAGACCAGCAGCAGGGCACAGGGACCGGACTATGCTTGCCAGGGCGCTCCAGGCACATAGCTGTAATTATCAGCTACAATGACCAAACAAAGTGGATAGCCGATGTCATTTCTCCTTTTATCGGTGTCAATCTGAAAGACAGCCGATATATCAGTGTACCCCTTACTTTATACTTACCTGCATTGAATTTCATCTGCCATTTAGTTGCTCAACCAGATAACCCTGATCCCCCTCTTACTGACACTCAAAGAACTCCAATAGGTTGATGAGGCATGATTTCCCTTCGACAAAGCCATATTGATTCCTGCCCAGCAAGTCATGTTCATCCATGTGCTGAACAATTATTTTTTTTATTATGGTTTCTACCAATTTTCCAGAAACAGAAGTTAGGCTCCCTGACCTGTAGTTCCCTGCATTCCCTCTAGAACCTTTTAGAAATATTGTCACATTGGCAACCGTCCAGTCCTCTGGTACCGAGATTGTTTTTGTTATAATTTGCACACTACAGTAAACACGCTTGTAAAAAAACGAACATGTTTATACCTAGTTTTTAAAAGATACTGAAGGTTTTCTTTTAGTCAAATTTTTAACTGCAGTACTCAGTTTTTAGGATCATGTAGATTTTTCTAATAAATTCAGGATTTCTTGCTAGCCTCTTACTCAAATATTCCATAGTTAAATTTGGATTTTATTTGAATATCACCAATACGTGAGAGGTTTTTTTATTTAGTTTTACTAATACAAAATGTTCACAATTTAGTGAAGTATAAGAAGCTTCAAGAATTTTGACATTATCCAGATGGCCTATGAAAGTCTATACTGTATTAGTTAGAGTTGAAAGCCAGGCTTCTAGAGAATCTTTCACATACATTCATAAAACTATACTAGAGTAA